AACAATAACTTAAGGCCTACAGCATTTCTAGGTGATTAACAATCATGTGAGAGTGTTCAAAGCCTGAGATGAAGACAAGGTCAATCATTAATTACATAAGAAATATGGGGGTGAGGGGAATTATTTCCAGTATAATTCACTTGGGTCTCCAGTGAGCACTACAATCAGTTTCACATTTTTCAAGTTAAGGAGTCTTTCCTGCAGAGTGCCACAGGGACAAACATGTAGAAGAATCCTGCAACTGAAGGTCTACCAAAAAGCACTCATTACAACAGCTACTTAGGATCTTCCTCTTGTAACCAAAGCTCTCTAATAGTGATTCAGAGACTAGGGACCAAACTCAGCCTGATAGATGTTCAAGGATTTACCGGTAATTCACTGTGAGATACCCCCAAAACTCATTATGGAGACAGCACAGAGAACATACAGGAATCGGAGGATGGAATAACAAAAGAGTAAGAATGTTGAGCCCATTGACTTTGCTGCTTCTATGATTCCTTGGTGCTCTTACATTTTAGAAACAGGAAGCCAAATATATCCCTGGCATGACTCCAGTGAAGTTATGCCAGGTATGAATTTGGCTCACTAGGTTTGTGTCTGTTGTGGTTAGCCATACACTTTTCCTTTTTTTTTTTTTACACTTTATTTCCATGTCTTTGACGTTTCCCAGAACAGCTCTTGCTTATTGTCGGCTTCAATTAAGGATTTTATGGAAGTACTTCTTTTCATATTGAATAAGCTCAGCAGGCCTCTCCATCCGGCTCTGACCAGCATTATAGCTCAGCTACTCATCACAATTAGTTTCTTTTTGAATTTTTAAATACAATTAGAAGCTATGGGCAAAATGTGATCAACAGTTCTGAAACCCTTGCACATCAATAAACATTTGCAAGTGTTTTATTCATTGTAGTATCATGAGAGCAGCACTGAATACAGATAGAACAGCCTTACCATCCATGCACAGAAACTAGCCCTTAGCAGTAGCATTATGACTGTATGCTGCACAAGGCAGGCCCTCACCTGTGTATGTCACCCAATAACAACACTAGAGCATTGTGACAATCTGCCCCGCCACATTGGGGTAGTTGGAGTGGCGGGGTGGCTAACTAGTGCTGGGGCTATAGCGCTGCTTCTCAGTGTAGATTAAATCCCAAATTAAGGTGAAATAAAAAATAAATCTTAGAACATAAGAATGGCCATATTGGGTCAGACCAATAGTCTATCCCAGCATTCTGTCTTCCAACAGTGGCCAGTGCCATATGCTTCAGAGGGAATGAACAGAACAGGTCAATTTTGAGTGATCCATCCCTGTCATCCAGTCCCAGCATTTGGCAGTCAGAGGTTTAGGGACATTCAGATCATGGGGTTGCATCCCTGACTATCTTGGCTAATAGCCATTGATGGACCTATCCTCGAATTTATCTCATTCCTTTTTTAACTCAGTTATACCTTGGGCTTTTACAACATCCCTTGGGAATGAGTTGCATAGGTTGTCTGTGCAATGTGAGAAGCAGCAACTGCTTTTTGTTTGTTTTAACTCTGCTGCCTATTAATTTCATCAGATTACCTCCTAATTCTTCTATTCTGTGAATGGGGTAAATAACACTTCCCTGTTCACTATCCCCCCACCACTCATGATTTTATAGCCCTCTAGCATATCCCCCATCAGTCATCTCTTTTCTAAGATGAACAGTCCCAGTCTTTTTTAATCTCTCCTCATATAGAAGTTGTTCCATATCCCTAATAATTTTTGTTGCCCTTCTCTGCTCCTTTTTCCATCTAACCCTTGCTTGTTACACAGGATAGATCTTTGGCAAATGGCATCATTTTATGGGTGCCTGACGTTATTAGTCCTGCCTCAGTGCAGGGGACTGGACTAAATGAGCTATCAAGGCCCCTTCCAGTCCTACATTTCTATGATTATGAGTGAGATAACTGGTTCATCGGTTTTCATTCCTTTTTAGGTTTCTAAAATTAAAACTGACCATACTACAAAAATCTGACATGAATGTTTCCCCTTCCCCTCCCAAACTGGTCTGGTGCTCAGATCTTCCCTGGAGTTCATACAACTCAAGGACTCTACACCAGGCTCTCTTGCTTGAATAATACATCAACTGGGAGCCATGTTATTACAAAACATACTGCAAATCAACCCATAACCAAAGTCCCCAAACATAGTCCATATCCACACCCAGTGCATGTAGTCCTTAAAACCCTGGTCTTCCTTGCACGAACCCAACAGCCTCTCTACTGGGAGATCATCTTTACCAGGGAAGCATCCCTCACTTCCTCCTTGCCCTCTCACAGTTCCTCAGAGTCCAGCTCTCCAGCCCTGGAAACATCAGCAGATAAGCTCCTTCACTGATCCCTCTGCCTTCAGCTCTCTCTGGCCCTTGCCTTTGGCTCTCTGGATTACAACCAGCCTCTACTGCTCTCTGGCTTGGGGATGCCAACTAGCAAATGCCTCTTGCTGCTCTCCTACCTTCAGCTTTCTGCCTGGAACCACAATCAATCTCCTGGCTCTGGCAGCTCTCACCTCCTGCCCTTCTCCTGACTGACCCAGGCAGCTCTGACTCCCCATGTTTCTTTCTCAGGTCACTGAGTCTCTTTATAGCCCCTGGTATTGCCTTGCCTCCTTAATTGGTCAAATGGGAGCACCAGCACAGAGGAGTTGGACCTACTTCATTCACAGCGGCCAGAGGTCGCCCTGTAATACCCCTCTCTGCCTCAGACTGATGGAGAGGCCTCTGGTTATTTGTCGCTGGCTAGCTCAGCAGTCTAGCTGCCTCCTGGTGCCATCTCCTGCTATTTCTAGCATAGATTTTCCCCTCAGATGTCAACAAGGCACAAAGCTTATTTTTGGTATGAGAGGGATGGGCCTGCCCAGAAGCCCTAAATCCCACCATCAAAATAATTTACACCCATATTGGGCCATAACACCACCTGACACTCACTTTTCAGTAAAGAGATTATCAGTGACATAGCAGTGCTCAAGCATAATTGAGTGTAACAGCGTTACCGTATTTGCTTTATAGAAAATAATGATCTATGCTATGTGCCATGTTAATAAATAGATCATTGCTTGTTTGTTTGTTTTTATGGTGTTTGCTGCTGCTGTTGTTTTCAAGACTTACCACAAATATCATTTTTTTGGAATCATCTCACCCAGATATGCTTCCCCCTCATCCCTCACCCTTCCCTGTAAAGGTACAAATACTCATACTCATAGAGAAATCTGCAAATCTTCTCATAATTACAATAACTAAATCCTCTCTGCTACATCTTCAATAAGTTCAACTAATAGCACTTTTTACCTTGTATCTTTAAACCAGAACAAAAAAGAGAAAGTAAACTGTAAATGTTAAGACCATGATGATCTGCAATGTTGGCCCCTATAACCAGAGCTTATTCTCTGACCAAGTTCATTCAAAGGCACTGTTTTCCCAAATCGTGTCTAATTTTGATCAAGAGACAAAAAAGAAAAGAAAAGAAAACGAGACATAATGCGAAACAGATTCCAGTTGTACACTTGATTATTACATTGGTTTCATTCTTTTAGAGCCGTCTGAAAACATCTGAGTAAGAGATAACTTGGAGCTCTCCAACACACAAACCTTCTCTTTCTTTGGCTTCTGTTTGAAATCTTTGATTTGGACACAATATATTAAGTTACTTCAACACCAGCCAGTTTTGTTGATCTTGTGGCTAGGAATCTCACACAAGCTTGTGTCTGAGTGGAGGTTGATGACATTTGAAAGCGAGTAGACAAAAGTGACTTGTAAAGCTGTGGTCAGAGTCATCTCTAAATAGGGTGCGGAAAGATTACCCCAGAAGAACCCCTTGCACAGCACTGTGTGTATATCTTTCGGAGCATGTAACAACTGCATTTAGGCCTGAGGATTAGCCATCCAGGTGAAATTGTATCCAATTCTCTTAAAAAACACTGAAGTGTATCCAATGTAACAAGCAAGAGTTAAGCCATACAACTCCTCATCAATTTAAACAGGAGTCATGAAGCCAAACTGGTGCACCTTATTCTGAATACAAACACTGTCATGCTGAAATAAGTAAACACAGGGGACACAAGTTCTGCCTCTGGACCAAGTGAAAAACAGGAGAGCCACAGCAGCTGAAAACTGAATGCTACTCTTCCACCCTTTAAATTCCTCCACTATGAGCATAAAACAAATTGGCGATTTCTGTGTTCAGTTCTAATCTACTTTGATAGATTATACATTGAGCTTGAAACTGGAATCCTTACTCACAGAAGTAGACCTTACTCTCAAAAGTTGCCCTTGCAGGATCAGGTTCTACTTGATTCATGTTACCTGATGTTTGATTATGGAAATGAAGGTTGTCTAGTGTCTAAATCATATTGGGAGCCACATTTTTAGAAGTTTCTCAGATGGCTCATACAACACAAAACACTAATTGCATTGGCTAAGGAAGTAAATACATCCCTGGCTACCTGTTCGTATGTGCAGTTCTAAAAGATCTCTTGGAAAATTGGTCCTGTATGTGTGAAAAGAGCAAAATTTTAAGGCTTGAAACAAAAGTGAAGCTATAGAATTTTATTGCCAATTCTTCTGCCTATAACCACATGGAGTTGCACGGTAAAACAATGACTCTATAAATGAGGGGAAACAACTGACTGAAACTACAAAGATTTTTTTAAAACATTGGAAATTTTATTGCACAAAAACTGTGGTGGAAGTTGAAGGAAATCATTGGTTGTCAAAACAACAACAGTATTAAAAATAAGAGGTAGTGGCAAAAGTTGAGGCTTCCTAGCAGTTACACCACTATCTGTGAACTTTCTGAAAGCTGCTGACAGACCTTTGGCATATGATCATCTCCTAACTGCTGATTAACATAGTGCTGTTTTATATTTAACTCAGAGCAGAGCAGGAGGAGTAGGGGGTGGGGCTGAACTGCTTATAAGGAGAGTAGAGTAGTAACAGTGTTCTTCTGTGTCAGTTTCCTCTGTCTTTCTTCACAGCTGCACTCCTCTGGATCAACCACTTTCCCTCTGGTTCAGATGAATGCTATCTTTAATTAATTGAGTACATAGTGGAAGGAGAGGTGGCAGAGACAAAAAGGCTGTAACTACACCATTACAATACAAACCGAATCTGCTGGGCTTACTAAAAACAAGCAGTGCGGAGGTGCTTAATAAGCCTTTTTAAGGTTAATGTTTAGCTTTGAAAGAAGACAGGGGAGCAAAGATGCAGGGAATGGATTTTGAGGATAAGAAGTCCAAGAGGTATTGCATGAAGAAAAAGCATGTGGCCATCATCTGTGCAGTAGTGGCTGCGGTAGGTTTAGCTGTGGGACTTGGCGTGGGATTAAGCAGACCTGAGCCTTGCCAACCTTCCGGAGGCACAGAACAGCCAGCAACCACTACTCCTGGGACAGTGGAGACACGCCACTGCCCTCCCAAAAATGATGCAAATGGAGACTGGACAGATTTCAGGCTACCCACTTACATTAACCCAGAACACTATGAGCTGGAAGTGAAGCCTGTGATGGATGCAGATATCTACACAGGGACAGTCAACATCTCCATCAAGTTGGGGAAACCTACCAAGTACTTGTGGCTTCACCTCCGAGAGACCAAGATCACAGAGCTGCCCATGCTCTGGAAATCCTCAGGGCAGCAGATTGCACTGATCGAATGTTTTGAATATGAACAACACGAATATGTGGTGATGGAGGCAAAAGAGATGCTCTCTGCTACTACTGCAAATGACAACTATATACTAACCCTGAAGTTCCAAGGCTGGCTGAATGGCTCCCTCGTTGGATTTTATAGAACCACCTACACTGAGAAGGGAGTGACCAAGTAAACCCATTTTTTAAAATTTTGACTTGCACATCTATTTCTACTTGCTCAGACCTGTTCTCTCCCTCTCTCGCCTTCTCTCTGTCACCAAATTGCATACATTTCTGGGCTCTCTTTTAATTTTCCTGCTTCCCTCAGGAAGGTACAGCATTAAGAATGCCAAAGCAGTCTCTGGGCGGCTGCTTACAAGGAAATGTGGGTTGGAGTTTTTATTCTGAAAAACATTTTGGATCTCTATTGCCATAGTCTATCCCCGATCTTTGCAAACTCCCATCTGGGAGTTGTATGCAGGGACTGAGTCCTATCTGTTGCTTTATATGTGTAGTGGGGTACATAACATACAGCTCTGTATGTTGTTTTCTATCATTCCCCAAAGTAAGAACCGTTAAGTGAAATGCCAACTAACTAGCATTGTGGCAGCTTTCCTGACATAACCGCTTTGATGTTGTAAGCAAAAGGAATGTCAGAATCAGAGCTCCACTTTTCCTTCCCCAGCTGGTTTAAATTACACGGGGGCAGGTTTGAAATTTGGACGATATCTATGATTTGACATATTTCTGCTCCAGCTCATCCCTTGTAATCAGATCAATGATTATTAAAATGTTGCAAAGGTTTAACCCCAATTAAAGAACCCAAATGTATGTGCTTTTGATGGTTCAATTAACCCTTTCCCTGCCTCAGATCTCCACTACTTCAAAGGAAGGGTTTGAAAAATCTGCTAGCCAGTGCAAAGTGGCAAACTTTCCCTGGTGAGAATGTGTTAGGAGAGGGGCACTAAAACCATCACTTTTTGCTACATTTAGGATTTAAAGGTGACATTTCCAGCCCTGATACTTAGAATGTAACCTGGAATCTGCAGACAGGCTATTGGAATACCTCCTAGCTTTCCTGAATAGCAGCACAGTGAAATTAACAACTCTAGTTAGTTTTCATTGTTGCTATTTAGGCAAGAGTTATGTCAGCTTCATTCTGCTGCTGACTGGCAATACCATGAGCAAAAGGCAGGGACTGGCAAGGGAGGATGCAAGGGCAGAGAGAAGAGCAAAGGGCAACTGGGTTCCCTCCCCATATGTATAAAAATGGGTTACAGCAGCAATTTGATCTAAGAGGAAGCCATATGAGGAGCATCTGAGCCCCCAGTTGGCTCTTCAGCTCTATTCCCTCACTACCATCCCTATGCAGCTCCTCTGTTATCAATCTAGATAAGATACTTATGGCCCTAGCATCTAACAGCCTCATAATCATTAACACATTTAGTCTCACACACCCCTGTAAAGTTATTTCTAGTTTATTGAAGGAGGGAGGGAGAGAGAGAGAGAGGACTTGCCCAAGGTAACACAAGAAATCTGTCAGAGAATCAGGGACAGAACCCCAATTTCCTAAAGCCCAGTTCAGGGTCTTAACCACAAGCTCATCTTTCATCCCACCCGTCTGTCAGCCACCAGGCCTCAGTTTCAGAAGTAGGAGGGAAAGGTGGAACAGCAGCTCAAACAGCAGGAGGCATCCCATCTTCATAGCAAGTGTGTGTAGCAAATGGTGGAAAGGGGATGTGTGTGTGTGTATGGATATTAGAGACAAAAAAAACTGTTAAAAGGACATTATGAAGGTTGCAAAGTCAAACACTAACATGTTAGGAACCTTAATTCTGTCCCTTGTTTGTATACACTATGATACAGTCTCTAATTACAGCACTGCATACTATTTTTCCACAGGACCATTGCCTCATTCAGTAGACAGTGGGGATGGTGCTCAATTAATGAGCAATTATTCATTATTTTGTCATCTTCTCATCATTCCAGGTGTTGCTCTAGGCCTTATTTATTGGACACTATTCAAACCCTGCTCTGGAGATGGAATTATTAAATTTCCTCCTGGCACTCATCACTATTGTATCCATATGCTTCACAAACATTAATGAGTTTACCTTCACAACACCCCTGTAAACAAAGGGATGTTGCTATTCCCATTTTATGAGATGGGGAACTGAAGCACAGAGAAATTAAAGGGCAAAAGTACCCACTACTTTGAGGTGATACCAGTATCTGATTTTTTGCAGTGTATGTAGCATTACATAGCACTTTATATATTTAAGCACAGCTCCCAGTGACCTCAGCTGCAGCTGGGAGTTCTCAGCACTTCTGCAAATTAGATACCAGGGTTTCAAGTGAAGCACCATTATTGACCACCTGTGAAAAGTTTGGTTTAACTGATTTTCCTAGCATGACCAGGAACTCTGTGGAAGAGGAAGGGATACATTCCAGTTCTCTAGGTAGGACAGCATGCCTTAACCACGAGACCGTCCATTCTCTTCTTACAATCTCCCTGCCTCAATCATTACACACTTTCCAACATCGGCAATAAATCAGGCAGGGATCCTACAGACAAGTCTCCTTCATTACACAACCCTGATTCGTTCAGATCTGTTCTGCCTCATTCAGTACACAGAGGTCCTCTGGAAAAAATAGTATCTGAGCATGTAATTTAAGACGATCATAATGCATATAAACAAGACATCTGAATTAAGGTTGCACAGGCAATCTTAATTCTGGCATTTCCTAACTTTTGAGTACTTGACTTTGCAACCTTAATAATATTTCTTTAATGTAGCTTTGTGTGTGTAATCTCCTATGTTTTCAAAAAAGCAAACTGAAAAGCAAGCAAACAGAAATTCCAACATGTGGAATTATATTGACACTCACATGGTTCATCAGCAGGGTTGGAAGCTTTAGATCCACCACAAAGATGTCTGCCACTTAGGCTAACAGAATAACTGATAGCAGTAGTAGACTGTCCTCCTTTATGTGGATTGGCACTAGAGGGGGATGAGACACACATTTTACCAGTGGCTTTCACAGATATTTGTTGATGGCAGAGGAATGGTGAGGCTCAGGGATCTTGGGTTTCATTCCAGGCTCTGGAGGGGAACGTGCTCAAGTGGGCAAACCGTCTTTTGTTTCTCTCTCCCTAGCTGGATTTCTTCTGTCCTGTCCTCTTCAATTTGTCCCTGTCCCAGTGCTGTCTGTCCCTCTCTCCATGGCCCCTTGTACAAATCTCATTCTCCTCACGTATTCAGTCCCAGTCTCCTTGCCAAGCCAGTCCTAGTTTCTCTTTGCACTCCCCATCCCAGTCTCTCCACCTCCACTCCCAGTCTTCCTCACAACATGCACAGTCCCAGTCTCCTCACCCAACAATTCCCTATTTCCCCCTTCTGGTTCCTCATCTAATCTGTTTTTCTTCCTCCACCCCCATTAGCACTCAGTCCCAGTCTCCCTTCCTGGGCTTCTAGTTCGAGCTCTGTGTCCCTCCACTCATATCTCCCTTTCTCCTTGCCCCAATCGTCCCCCCACATCCTGGTTTCTAGTCAGATCCGCCTTCCCTCACCCTGACTTTCTCCCACCAGCTTCACTGCTTGAAGAGCCGGGGAGGATTGGGACTGGCATCTGACATCAGTCTTCTACCCCCTCCCCCCCCCACTTCCCTCCTTGGCTCCTAATCCCACTCTTCTTGCCCAGCAAGTCCCTGTCTACCCATCCAACTCCCAGTTTCTTTCTCCTCTCCATCAGCCTCCAGTCCCAGTCTCCCCACAAAAGATTCCTTGGCCCAATATAATCCCCAGATTTCCCCTTAGGTCCAGCTCTTGTCCCCTCTGCATTCAAATCAGGCTGCTTCCTCTTCCATGCCAACTGTGCCCAGGGGTGGGGTAGGGTCAAAGGTTTGGGTGGGCATGGAGAGCACACGAAAGACAGGCTTCCTGCTCTACGTTCAGGTACCCAGCCTCCACATGGGCCTCAGTAGCCCAGAGCTGTAATTGCAGGGAAAGTTCTACTCAGCCCTAGGCTACAGCATGCCCAATGCAGATGAAATCTTCAGTGAATTTAGAGGCCAAACTCTAACAAGCCACTATGGAACATATGCAAACTGCGGTATTTCAAAGGCTTATGAACTTGACCAAATTTGGGCAGATTTTCATGGGCATAGCACAGTCCTGACACAAAGGCCCCGCACCCCCTACCAAAATTTCAAATGCCTCCTCCAGAGCATGCGGGCACTAGAGATTCACGAAGGAAAAAGCACCAGAATTGTTTAACATGGGAAAACAACTTATTTCCCACTCGCTGTGTTCTGAGAAGCAAGCAACTGAACGATTTTGACTGAAATTTTTCAGTAAACATCACCCTGATGTAGATGCCTGGTGTGGGAGATTTTAGCCCAAATGACAAAAGTTTGGCAGTGTTAGAAGCAAGTGAAAACAGGTCTTATCATGGGAAGAATTGAGCAGCATTAACAATAGGCAGCGTTACCAGCCCAGCCTATATTATGAGAGTGGGAAGGGGACCTGGGGGGCGGGGGGGGGGGGGGGGGGGGCGCCAGCGGGCAATTAGCTTTCCTCTTGAACAGCCTCAGAAGCTGTGGGACCTGGCTGCTGATGGAGGAGAAGAGGAAGAATGGCAGGGAGGAGGAGGTGGAGTGGAAAAAGCCCGTTGGAGAGCTGCTTCTGCCAGGGCAAAGGATTGCTTAAGCATTGCTGCGGCCCCTTTTCTTTATACACTGGGCACAGGTCCAGACTTCACTGTCCCTTGGATCCACCTCTGGTTTTATACATTCACCAGAGGAAGGATGAGTCCGTGGTTTGGGGACTAGCCTGGGACTTGGGAAACCGGGGTTTAATGCTCTTCTTTGTCACGGACTTCCACTATGACACTGGACAATCAGCTTCTCTGCGCTTCATCTGTAAAATGGGGATAATAGCGCTTTCCTACCTCACAGGGTTGTGGTGAGGATAAATACAATAAACAGAATGTGAGGTGCTCAGATGTGAGGATAGCAAGGCCTATAAAAGTGCCAAATAAGCATCAGCCTAGAGCGTGACAGAATTTTTTAATCCTCAGCTGCCATCAAGAGATGTGAAATAACTCCAGTTTCTTTTCTTCTGATATTACTGAGGATATAGATGGGCAAGGCAGCTGTGTCTTGGCTTTGCATAACTAAAATCTGGTTCAGATCTGAGTTCCCTTTTATTCAAACCTCTGAAGTGAAGCATTGTGTGGGTGTGGAGGGGGGCTCAAATGGTGCTAGTTTGGGCACATCTCCAGCTGATAAGGAAGCTGGTATTCCTGGTTTTGTTGGTTGCACAGATGTGAAATAGTTTTCCATTCTCTCCCTGAATTTTCTCTATTTAAAAGGAAGCCAAGGCAGTTGTGGCAGGCAGAAAACACATTTTGCCATGACTGTGTATCCTTATTAAAGTGCCAAAATTTCCCTGGGAAAGTGATGAATCTATGTTTGCAAAAAAATGTATGAAAATCCATTACTTAACTGAGGGAGACAAAAATTTCTCTCTCTCTCTTAAATGAAAATCTGTATATACTTGGCAAAAAATGGTAATTTATCATCGCTCTAAATGTAGCAATGTTTTATTTTGGGAACAACAGCTGCATGTGGTCACAGACAGATCTCCTCTTAATATTCCTGGTATATTTACAACTTTGTCACTTCTGGTTCATGTTTTAAAAACCTAGAGATCAACAGAAATTGCAGGGGCAGAATCCACCTGATAAAAAAGGGAGGGTTTTTATCTTAAACCAAGTTATACAATATTTCATTTTTTCTTTAATTACCACTTGTCTGCACAGGAGCATGGCCTGGTCTAGAGGTCTCTGAATCAACCCCCATGAACTGCGGCATTGGGGAATTGCATCACTGGTGTTTCTGCCCACCACAAATGCATGAGGATATATGGTTTATCACCTTATAAATCAGTGAAAAGGTTCTTGTGTTATCAGTCTTGAGGAACATGGATAGAAGAGTGTCCAAATATACAGCAATTTTTTAAAGCAACAGCTGTAAAACAATGCCCAGGGGATTGAAGTTAACTTGGTTGTGAAATATCTCCCAAATCCTACAAAGAAGAGAATGGGACAAACAACTTACAAAGCAGAAGAAACTCCATTAGGTCTAAGCTATTTTGAGAGGTTTAGATAAGGTGATGTTCATTACACTTCTTCCTCCAAGACCATGAATTCAAGGCATTTGAGTGAGTGTCCAAATGAATATGAATAGTAAAAGTCGAGATGTATTACCTCCTCAGACTTCTACATGAACCTTGCTGCTACTACAGGTTCTTAATGACCAGTTTAGTATTTAACCATCACAGGGGAAAGCCAAAGGCAACAGAAACATTGAAAAATTGGCTGTCAGGTGAACTTGTGATGGTGGTAAAGATCTATAATTTATTATGGAGTATTTTTAATTACTTTTTTGGGAAAGAACAAACAAAAAATCCACACCTTACCCTAATGTAGCTTGAGCAGCTGTAGAAATGCTGTCCGAAAATGCACCGCATTCCAAATTAATTGAAGAGATATCGGAGATGCGTTCCCCCATCAATCAGAACAGAGAGCATGCTCCATCCCTGAACAGCATGCTGACAGGGGAAAATTTGATTTCATGTAGGAGGATGTTTCATAAAAGCCTTGGCAACGTTTTCTAAATGATCCCATTTTGCAACAATTCCCTTAGTCATTTCTATCTAAGTGAGCCCACTTCACTTCCAAGCTAAAACACGCAAACGCACTTGCACTGATTTGTCATTAAGTGTTCTACTCTATTTCAAACATTTCATGTCAGTGCACAATTCATTACTGGAGTCAGTAAAGTTTAGCAGCACTGGCAGGCAGATGTACAGGGTAACCCCTAAGTGATAAATGCCTATAACAAGAAAGTACTGTGCAGGCAGCTTCAGTATTTTGTGGGGGTGGGGTTAAGCCATCACTCAGAAGCTTTTGAAGATGTCTTTCCAAGAGAAGCTCAGGTCCCGATCCTGTAATGAGCTCCAGGGAGACCCAATCAGTGGCGCTTCCTATGGGCAGAGCAGTCCATTCATTCAGAGCTCATCGCTAGATCAGGGCTTTAGTTTCCTTTTAGTTGATGACATTACTAATGTTTACTAATATGAAGTCAATGGGATTACTCACATAGGTAGGATGAGCAGGATTTCCCTTTACTATGGGAGGAACTGCTTGTGTTTTACTTTTCCTGCTCTTAAAAAAATATTTAAGCACATCCTCCATTTGTGATTAGCAGTTTTATTTGTTTTTTGTTAAAACACCTACTGGTCATGACTTCTAGAAGCCCAAGTATATTTGAGGGTTATAAATATTTAAGTTGTATCTTTATAAAAAGACCACTGACAATAAAACTTTTGCTGGTTCTACTACAGTTTGCAGTACTAACAAACAATTATGTTCATACATGGAAATAACAAAAAACAGCTATCATGAAGGCTTAGGACAATGCAACAATCTTTTTGTTTATTTTAAAGGAGCATAGCAGCTACTGATCATGAGCCAACAGATGCACGGAAGTCGTTTCCTTGCTTTGATGAGCCCAACAAAAAGGCAACTTACACCATATCAATCATCCATAAAGAACCATTCAAAGCACTCGCAAACATGCCCGTAGAGGTATGTATTTCACAAATGTACTACTTAAGTAGAATGATTCTGTAAAACAAATGTAAGAGTAATTCAAATCTAAACACCCTTGAGTGTTAACAGATCATTTGTTATCTCAGAAGCTATACAGCTTAAGGTTAAATAAGATTTATATAAAATAGGACTGGTTGTTCCGTTATCATTCCTAGTTGTGTATTACTGGCAACCAAGGCTCAACAGTAGAACACAACACAGCAATGCCAATCCCAATGCAGGAGAGAATCACATTTTCTTATTAGCTGCCTATCCCTGGGCTTCCACATGCACAGATATTGTAGACTTGCCTCCCTTACTGGATATATATAAACGATACACAACGGTGTTGTAGCCGTGTTGGTACCAGGATATTCAAGACACAAAGTGGGAAGAGTAATATCTTTTATTGGACCAACTGCTGTTGGTGTGAGAGAAAGCTTTCGAGCTTACACAGAGCTGACAAAGAGCTACAGAGGGATCTCCCAGAAGTGGTGACTGGGCAACAAATTGGCAGATGAAATTCATAGAATATCAGGGTTGGAAGGGACCTCAGGAGGTCATCTAGTCCAGCCCCCTGATCAAAGCAGGACCAAATTCAGTGTTGATATGTACAAAGTAACACACATTTAATGATGGGTTCTAAATTAGCTATTATCACTCAAGAAAAATCTTGGAGTCACCATGGATAGTTCTCAGAAAACTTCTACTCAGTGTGCAGCAGCAGCCAAAAAGGCTAACCGGATGTTAAGAACTATTAGGAAAGGGATAGAAATTAAGACAGAAAATATCATAATGCCACTATATAAATCCATGGTGCACCCACACTTTGAATACTGTGTCCAGTTCTGGTAGCCCTATCTCAAAAAGGATATAGTGGAACTGGAAAAGGTTCATAGAAGGGCAAAGATGAGCAAGGGTTTGGACTACTTCTGTGTGAGGAGAGACTAAAAGGATTAGGACTGTTCATCTGAGAAAAGAGATAACTAAGTGGGGATATGATAGCAGTCTATAAAATCATGAATGATGTGGAAAAAGTGAATAGAGACTGTTATTTACTCTTTCCCACAATACAAAAACCAGAGTTCACCTGATAAAATTAACAGGTGGCAGATTTTATACAAACAAGAGGAAGTATTTTTTCCATACACACACAACTAACCTGTGGAATTCTGTTGCCATAGGATGTTTTGATGGTCAAAAGTATAACTGGGTTCAGAAAAGAACTAGATAAGTTCATGGAGGATAGGTCCAACAATGGCTATTAACCGTTATGGACAGGGACACAATCGCATGCTTTGGGATGACCCTAAACTTCTGACTACCAGAAGCCATGAGTGGAAGATATGGAGTGATCCACCCCTAAATGCCCTGTTCTTTACACTCTCCCTGAAACTCTGGTATGGTCTACTGTCAGACACAGGCAACTGGGCAAAATGGACCATGGTCTGACCCAGTATGGTATCTCTTGTGTTTTTATATGCTAAAAATACACCTTTTTTTCCCTCTGAGTGTAGACATGGCTTAGAAACTTACTGATGTTTTTCATAGACTACTTCATTTTTGTAGGAAATGCTGATGGAGTTTCTAGGAGCAATTTGAGTAAGTTGAAAGTAGAAGCACAGTTAACATATTTTGGAAAGATGTTCAAAGCATAAAAAGACTGAATGGAAGGTTCTACAAAAGGGTTTGACTGATCAATTATTTTGCACTGAAATTGTTTGAAATTTACTTTTGAAAGAATGGGGAAATGCGGATTTCATTTGAATGTTTCTTTGAGATTAGGGGGTATTCAGTCTTAAAAGCTCAAAGGGATATTAGAGACAGGAGATATCAGAACAGAGCTGCTCGAATAATGGGAAAACACAGATTTGTGACTATATAAATAATTTAACTTTAATTTGTTTCACTCTTGCTTGTGGTATCAAAACATCTGTTATTCATGTAAAGGCTGCTATTCACAAACATTGCAGAAGTTTATTGTATTTCTACTATAGGTATAGTATCTATTATTTGCCATTGGCTTTTTTACTTTTATAGAGTCTCATCCAACCAGGGATATATATACACACACACACCCCACATGACTGTAACAAATAATGAACAGTTGATGTATTTTGTCCAAACTATTCAGCAAATATTTAAGAATACCAAGTACATTTGCTAAAATCAGGACTGGCTTGCAATGGATTAACAAACTAAAAATCTGGCCAGCTCTAAGAACAAAAGGGTGTTTGAACAACCCCTTGCAAAGCAAACCCACCAAGGTTTACAGCATTAATTACTACTGGAACTGGATTGGATTCAGTGGGCTAAATTCTGCCCTCAGTTACATCTGTACTACCTCACTAGCTTCAGGAAAGTTGCACAGGTTTAAAGGAGGGCATAATTTGGCCCAATCTTTAATTTCTCCAACATTTTGGTTTTGTGGAGCCATTTCAAGAAGGCTAGCTAGAAAATACATTAAACGGAACTCAAGCATATTGAAAAGCTCATCTTAACAAGAGTATATAAGCATAGACATGCACGGTTTGATTTCTTAATGCAAACAGCTAGAAATAAGAAAACTCATTCTTAGTGCATAAAAACAAAGCCCCATCATATGCATTCCACCTTTAAGAAAAAAAATCACTTTGCATGTTCCCATCCCATGAGCTGTGTAAAGCCAGAGAGACAATTCATCATTCCTATAGCTCTAGTTTATATCTGAATATTTTACTCTTTTATGCATATGTTTGCAGTTTCACAAGGTAAGAATTATTTTTCTCCTTCTTCAGCAAACGGTTCAAGTGGGTGATGGCTGGAACAGGACAACTTTTCAGAAATCTGTCCCAATGAGCACATATTTGGTGTGCTTTGCTGTGCACCAGTTTGAATGGGTAGAAAGAAAGTCTGCCAGTGGAATTCCTGTAAGTCCAATTTTCATTCTGAACATATTCCAGATGTGAGTTTTAAAAAACATAAATCAGCTTTTCATATTGTATTGCTTAATCTTCCCATTCTTATGGCCTATGTTCTGCAGGAAGTCAAACTAGATGATCAAAATAGTCCCTTCTGGCCTTAAAAGCTGTGAATCTATGTGGACCTCATGTCTCTTTTGCTTATTAATCAACAACATTGAAAAACTTGAGTCATAGCAATGCATTGTTATATAAAAATGCATAGTATACAGTTATTAATTATATTACAGTAGTGCCTATATGCGCCAATCAGAGTAGGAACGATGCAGACACATGTTAAAAAGAGAGAGTCCCTGCCCTGAAGGGCTGAAACCTCAGGTCCTTTGAACTGAGTATGTTTGGATTTGAATCCACAAATCTGAACTGGCTCCTATAATTTTGGTTGTAGATTGTATCCAAAGGAGTAAGGAGTCTATTTTCCAATTCTGGTTTGGATTCAGCCAAAACTCTTATAAGAATGGCTCTACTCGTGAGATTTTTACTATTCAAAATCTTGTGGGACGAGTTCACAAGATTTTACCAGAGTTGTTGAATCTGACGTGAAACCCCAGCCATGATTTAGCCTTTCACTCAACCTCCTTATTGAGCCTGAACTTAATCTGGAATGTTCAACCCCTGTTAACTAGTTATTTGTCCAAGTTTTTCAATGAGAGGCAGAAAAATTCTTCCAGTGTGGTGCTGTTGCTAGTTCCCTTCTTTCTCTTCTAAGAATCAGACAACATACTTTTGCAGTAAGGATGTTTTAACCATTTGCTTGGGCTAATTTATTACTGTTCTAGAGAAAATATTGTCTAATGACTGGGAATCCAGATTTCTGGATTATATTCCCAACACTGCCATTGACTCACTATATGACCTTCTGTGGGTAAGTCAGTACTTTGCCTCAAGTATCCCAATCTGCAAATCAATCCCTTCCTACGTTATAGGGTTTTTATAAAAATCCCAGAGGTCTCACCTCACTTCTTAGCAAAGATCTAATAGCACAGTGCTGTGCTGTGGTCTCCTTGCTCTAAAACTTTATGTATTTGTACATCTTTGCACATGCACTACATTTGTCTAAATACGTGACCAGGGTACATTTTGCGATGTGATGCAGTATCCTTGATTTTTTTAAAATTTGTGTTGGATTTGCAACTAAACAAACAAAGTCATAAACTGAGACTCCAAACCTTTACATCAAGGTGCTACTGTAGTTCTCAGATAGGCTGCTCCACTTGTTTTCAGTGTCAGGACTATGTTTATCTAGCCTAGACACACTCTCTCTAGAACTTAATCATCTACATGATCAGAATTTGCATGGGTCTTTTGCAAAATTTATTCAGGGAAAAAGAAATAGAATGCTGCAACCGCACACAACATCATTGTTTTGTATATACAAAAGCTCTCCCATTCTACGTTCAGCTACCACACTCTAGGCTGTGAGTTAGGGATTGACCTTTGTTGTTTCAAAAGGGAATATTAAAGCAAAGTTATATTATGACTGTAGCTTTTGTGAATAAAAGTGAATATCTACAAGTTACAAATACATACATACCTCACTCTTATATAGCGCTTTAAAGTGTGTGTATGGGGGGAGGGGATGTTAATACCAGAACAGAGTTTGCATGAAGAATCCCCATCTAGTTTGGGCTATAGTTCTTACACGTTTTATTTACATTAGTCAATAAAAATGCCTAAAGATTTGGCTACACTAGAAAGTTTTGCTGCTTAGATGTAGCTAAAGCAGCGGCACCCCCTTAATGTGGATGCAATTATACTGGTAAAAAAAAGTGCTAATACCAGTATAGCTTATTTCAGTTCTGAAGCAGAATAAATTATACAAATGTAATGCACCTTTTTACTAATATCATTTTGTCCACCCTACGCCTTTCACCAGTATAACTATTTCAGTTAAGAACACCCCTAACCAAAATAGTTATGCTGGTAAAACTTTGAAATGTAGACAAGGCCTTACCATAGTGATCAGCACTGCTAGTCAAACAAGGGACAAATCGACTGACAATTTATTCAAAAGAAAATGCCAGTGCTCACTGGATTAATTATTGGCAATAAATCATTTGACCAGCTCTACTAACTACATAGCAGCATAAGATAGTGAGGCTCTGTAACACAATATATTGCTTTTTATCAAAACAATGCAATTACACAGAAGTCTCACAATATACAATAAAAGCTCTTAAAACTCTTTTGGGATCCCTTCTGAGTTGTTGATCTGGCAGAGATAAGGGTGGAAGAGATAATGAATTAAATGCCTGCATCTTTAAATGATCATAAGAAATCGATTACTACTTCACATCAGATGTTAAATCTATGTTTTGAGTTTCATAAAGGGAGATTACACAAATCAAACGTAAAAGTAGGTTCTGACGGGTGCAAGAGATTTTCGAGTATGGATCAGCTAGGGGAATGAAGCACACTAAACTGAGTAAAGAGATTACTGAAGGGAAAGTTACAGACAGTAATTGCAAACCAACCCTCGTGGAAATCCCATGGTCTTGATGAAAACCCAATTAAATTTTAGAAGCGTTTTGTTTTTTTTCCCCTTTCAGTTATCTTCCTCACCCACTTTTTCTTGAACAAAGGCTTCAGTACAAAGAAATTAAGCTATCAACTGCCAACCACGGCTCCTCACCACAGGCCGACTCCTTTGTCCAGTTCAAAGCCTAGACTCAGTCAGGATTTTTTTCAAAGGAACGTTTTTTCCATCAGACGATTCAGATTCATCGAAAGTGAACGTTTTTGTGGACACCTATCATTTTTGACTAAACTTTCATCTGGAAGGTTTCTTGGATCCAGGATGGAATTTATGGTATGTGTGTGAGAGTGCAAAAAAGAGTGAGGGGCAGACACCAGGATAACCAATAAGCCCAATGGTCAGGGCACGCCCCTGGGATATGGAAGACCCAGGTTCAAATCCCTGCCTGATTCAGAGCAGGAATTTGAAGCTAGGTTTTCCACATCCCAGGTGAGCGTCGTCACCACTGGACTACTGCCTATTCTAGATTCTCTCTCTTTTACTTATGACCATAAATTCCATCCTGGACCTGAGAAACCTTCCAGACGAAAGCTTTGTCAGCACAAAATACTTCTCAGAAAAGTTTTGATTTTGACAAATTGGCATTTTCTGAAGAAAATTGTTTCACCAAAAAATGCCCATCCAGCTCTAATTGTACATTTTTGAAGGGAAAGGTCTTTGGTCTCTTTAGCCCGGGGGATATTCCATTGCTAAATAGTAATACAAAATTAATTACCAAGTTCCTGATCACAGATAGTGGAGGCATGAAAAATCAGCACTTGACATATCACTTTTCTCCTCTTCATTAAAAAATGTAATTATAGATTTAAAATGTGCATGCATACACCTTAATATCCAAACATACTGCACAGTTAATTGACTAGTCTGTAGTTTGCAGGTTATAATAAACAAATCCAAGTAAGAAATATCACAGAACATGCATATTACCTCATAAAAGCCAAGAGCCTATCCTCCTCATACCAGCTTTGGAATTTTCTATTAAAATATCACTCTCGCAAGCCAAGCTCTAAGCACGATACTTTGCAGATGGCTTAGCAGCTATCACGCATGCCTATTCCTACCTTACTCCACTGCCAGTCTATTTTTATAATATTAATGTCAACAGTCAGAGTTTAGTCTGCAGCCCTTCTATTAAAGGCAGTTTCCTACACTTACCTGAACCATGAAAAGTTGAGAAACTGTCCTGCCAGTGCAGAACAGGAATGCTAAGGGTAACCAGAGCTGGGGAGGAAAGTGAAGGAAACATACGGCAGAGCACACTTTACTATTGCTTCAAAAAGGAACAATATCTATCCACTAAATGAAACATACATATAGAGAGACCAACGACTGTGTGATGTCCTTCCCTTTAAAAGTTCAGGGGACTCTGTACTCTCCTCCCTCCCACCCTCACCATCCCCAAGTGCAAAGCTTTTGCTGCCAGAACAATAAAGCGACCACAGCAGAGAGTGTATGTCTATCAGTTCCCTCTGCATCTGTCAGTCTGTCTCTGTCTCCTTCTCTGTTGGCTCCAGAAGTATAACCATTTGACTATACCCTCCTGGGCCCAGGATGTGCCAGCTCCTTGATCCAATGCCCTGAAATGCTAGGTTGCAATCCTGCACTGGTAGGTCTGTGTGGGGAAGGGGTTCCCTACCTTCTCTTCCCTGTACAGTGCACTTCTGTAGCAGAGAGTTGTGGAATACAATTGTGTACCTACTTTTGTTACAAGGAAACTCTAAGATACCAAACCACTAGAGGGGAAAAAAACCACCCTTTTTTCCCAGCTGGTTTTCTTTGTATGTTTATATGGTCAGTTGCGCTGTTTTGTTGATAGCGGGTTGCAGCCCTTCCTGTCTCATGCACTAGTCTTAGGAGAGCATGCATGCCTATTGTTTCTTAGAGGGTGTCTGTCAGTAACAGTGGCAAAGCTTAAGAGTGTTAATTTGGGGAAGCTATCCCTTCAAAAAACTGAAAAGCATAGCTGGTCTTCCAACAAATAAGTTTCCTAAATCTATTCAAATTTGATGTGGTGGCTTCCACTAATTACTGGGAAATGAGGTCAAAGGTCAAATCATAATTAAGTTAAGTGATGATCAAAAGTCTAGATAGAATTTGTTGAAAGCAGAGGAGCAGACAAATATAGCAAAATATAGCCTAGGTTTGTCCCTTAGTGTTACTTTTTACTTATACAGTGTAACACCATAGATGCGAATGGTACCTCACAAAACAAGTAAAGACAGAATTCCCACCCAAAGAGCTTGTAATCTAAGACTGGACAAAAAAAGGAAATGATAGAGTGAGAGTGGCTGGGAGGAATGAAGAAAATAAGCTCATAATGTTTCATGGATGAATAGTGCACAGATTTGGGGCGGTTACACATGGATTTAATCTATGTATATCTATATATAAGTTGACATTTCATAAGCCTTGTCATATAAATGGTTTAGACAAAGGTCTTAGTGTTAGGTTTAATCTTCCAGAGAAGAAAAAAGTCAACCATATTATCCTTCTCTTTGCTAAATATAATTTGATTTGTTTTGTCCAACTGGGATCTGCTCTAATTGTATTTCTCCACTTTGTTTTACAGCTCAGGATATATGCACAGCCACAGCAAATACACACAGCAGAATATGCAGCAAATGTTACTAAAGTTGTATTTGACTACTTTGAGCAGTATTTCGATATGAACTACTCTCTTCCAAAATTAGGTGATTACTACCATTTATATTCTTCATTCTCTTAATTTACTATCACAGTTTTGTTTTCTGCTCTGAGTCATTGTTATTTCATGGGAGAGTGAAAATATAGAAATTTTGCTGCTAGCTATCTGGAATCTGCTGAGATTAAGACTTTATAGTTCAAGACGCTCTTGTATGTCAAGATGGGAGGCTCAGACCCAATTAGGACATTCTCCTCCCTTCATTCTGGCAGCTTGAATCCAAACACTGGCACTAAACACTGCTATTTTAGAGTGTCCAATTTTAAATAACGAGAAATGTTGGTGACATCAACAGAGAAACAATATGGGCTAAATACAGCCAGATGCAGCTTGAGATAAACTGGTTCAGCTCCCAAGGAAACTTCTCGACCAGAGTTACTGGTGACATAAATGATGCAAGTCACGTGACTTGCTCCAATTTCTGTGCACCCATTTCCACCAGGGTGGAGTTTGGATCCACGACTATAATTTATTTTCTATAGATGGGTTGAATGAAGATCCCAGATTCAAACAAAACCAACCTTGATGCTGAACCAAATTTTGCCTGTAGCCCTTATATTTTAAGGTCCCAGAGCAAACATTAGATCTGAGCATCCCTAAATTTGGATGTTTGAAATCTGGATCTGATTTGTGCAATTTGAACTAATTGGGGATACAATTAGAGCTGTGAAAAAGCTATAAAAGTATCCTCTGCTATAAAATCCAAAGGTATAGTTTATTAAGGTTTATAAACTTAACTGAAAAGGATGGAAATTTTTTTAAAAAAGTTAAGGTAGCCAGAGGAATTAAAAAAAAAAAATCATGCTATGCGTTGTCTAATGGATTACCCATGTAAAGCAACTGACATGCTAAATTCTCTGAAAGTTTTGACCTCTCTCTTCTCCTCACCCCTGAATATCAACTGAGTCGCTATAAATGTCCATCTACACTACAAATTACAACCAAGTCAGGAGACCTAGCTACAACACAGTTGTCCCTTTACCTGGTTACAAGCTGGCTCCAATTTGTGGATCCATTTAAACTGGATCTTAACTATCTATAACCAAGCGCATGTTTCTGTAACATATCTGCTGCCCAGTTAAAGAACACTGATAAGGTCCCATCTACATTGCAAAGTGGAACTCTGTCCCCTGAATTAATAATATTTGTAATGTAGACCAGCTTATAGATTTTATATTGTGCTCCTCAAAGTGCCAAGTTGTAAGAGACAAACATCTCAACTCTCCAGTTCAAAACCCAAAAGTCCATCTTTCCTTCATATCTTTATAATATTGTCCCTTCATTATTATAAATTGATTAAATCAGAAATAATGAATCAAAGAGGGTTTTAACAAAATGATTATTTTAAATAAATTAATTTACTATCACATCAAAGCTTCTGGCATCACTATTTTTCTTGTGTTCCTCATTTTGGATCTTTTGACAGACTGTATAATGTGTCCTGCAGACCTTGCCAAGTTGACAGCTATGCCCAGTGACCGAGCTAGCTAGAATAAACACCTGCAATTTGCAATTAGAGATGTGTGTAAGGATCGGTCCAATTTTGAAGCGATCTGTATTTTACCCTTACCCTCACAGAACAGAATGCATGGCCAATCATAGAATCATGGAAGATTAGAGTTGGAAGAGATCTCAGGAGGTCATCTAGTCCAACCCCCTGCTCAAAGCAGGACCAACCCCAACTAAATCATCTCAGCCAGGGCTTTGTCAAGCCAGGCTTTAAAAACCTCTAAGGATGGAGATTCCACTACCTCCCTAGGTAACCCATTCCACTGCTTCACCACCCTCCTAGTGAAATAGTGTTTCCTAATATCCAACCTAGACCTCCCCCACTTCAACTTGAGACCATTGCTTCTTGTTCTGTCATCTGCGAGTCCATAATTCTCATTTTAACTTGTACTGATTATGGAACATGAAGAAGTGACTCCACAGATTGAATGAGAAGCAAATGTTGTTCACCATATGGGGGATTAACTTCAGTTAATAAGGCAGTAAATATTTGTTATTCAAGAGGGTGACAAACAATGACATGCCTCATTATGCTACAGACAGTTTCAGATGCTTTATTGCCTACAGCATATCCCTAGAAAATACTAATAATTTCTGGAGCCAAATTTAAGTGTTGGATCACATGTGTATTTCCATAAGTTTGAACAGCACTTTATTTGGGGACAGATCTTTGACTAGTGTAAACTGTCAGAGCTACATTAAAGTCAATGCAGCTATGAGAATTTACATTCAGTTGAGGATGTATCACGGAGCATCCTACACATAGGAACAGAGATCCTGGGGTTCACTCTGTCATTGCAGTATGTAATACAGAAGAAGACTGTCAAATGGTGAGCCACAAAACAAACTATTATCTTATGTTGTGAATAAGCAGATGGACGTCTTCCTACCTAAAAAGGAAATATCACTTAAGAATCTTAGAGAATACAATGTTTACCCAGCTGTTTTTTTTCCCCAATATAGATAAAATAGCTATTCCAGATTTTGGTACCGGTGCTATGGAAAACTGGGGTCTGATCACTTACAGAGAAACAAACCTACTTTACGATCCCAAAGAATCTGCTTCGTCCAACAAACAGAGAGTGGCAGCTGTGATTGCCCATGAGCTCGTTCACCAGGTAGATTTTATTAAATGTTTAATGTTTTTAAAGCACTAGAAGCGCACAGTATCCATACCTCATTTATGAAAATAATCAGCCATACATTTGGTTCCAGGTCTTCTAAGTATGTTTAAACCTCACTTTAAAATAAGTGCACAAAGGCAATTCTGCTGTTAGAGTTTTACAGTACTGGAATTATTGCAAATGGACTCTTCTCAGAAAATTAGATGCTTAGGACCAGGTTTTCAGCCAGCCTCTGAAAAATCTGCCTGCAACATCTCTCTCACATCCACCCACCCACATCATTTACATGTGCAGATATGTGATCTAAGCTTGCAAACGGATACAACTAAACTCTGGAAGCTGCTTGAAAATTTGGTCCATATAAAGGTAAATCAAATCAAGAGGAAGAAACTAAAAATACTTCCAGTGGTATATGAATCAGTTCCAAATCACCGCTGTAATATGTAATTTTATAATACAAATGATTAATGTGAGTCATCATCTGAATTCCCATTAAAAACCTAGCTTTATGACAAATTCTTCTTCCTGGCAACAGGAAGAATGTAAACAAATGGAGGTACTGCATGAAGATTTGCAAAACTATAATATACACTTATCACGGTGGCTAACACTTCATATTTAATGCTTACAATTATAGTGGTTTGGAAACATTGTGACCATGGACTGGTGGGACGACTTGTGGCTAAATGAAGGATTTGCCAGTTACTTTGAGTTCCTGGGAGTAAATGCTGCAGAAACTAATTGGCAAATGGTAATTATTTCTACACTATGTTTTTTATTTTTGAATAGAATGAAAATAAGAGTCATGTCACAGACACTGAAAACAAGGACACATAGTGGATACACATACACTTAATTATTGTGGCATGCAGATATATAGAGAAAGGAGATACCTGAACAAATTGACTTGTGTGGTTGTATACCACAGATCTCTATTGGTTGGACTGTGAAAGGACTTGCTGGGTTTCTAAATTGTCCTGCTAACTGGGTTTTGGTCTGAAATCAGTCTATAAGACTTGCAAAGTTCTGCTCACCTGAGGAGAGTAATGTTTTGATGAGTAAAATATTAGCTTATCATCATAGTAAAGAATCATAAGTGGATTCTGAGCCTGGTCATGGAGATTTTGCAAAGTGGCTATAAGTCCTACTCCTGAAAGATGGAGATGGAGAGTCTCCTTTTATTGATTCAGAAGAGCTGAAGAGTGTGTGGGGGGGGAGGGGGGAGGGGTTACAGAACCACAATCCAATCTGGAATGTGAATCCCTTTGAAGTCTGGTGGATTGGTAAATGCGAGTTTAGGGTGAATTTATTTAGATCCAAATCTTTCTCTACAGCTTTGGTTCAGTGGGGGGAAAATCAGTTCTCCAGCTCCAGGTCCTGCAAGTGTTTTAAGCACTATGACATAGAACCATGCTCAGAGCAAGTCTAATCAAAATAATGCTTAAAACAGTAGTGACTGCAGGTGGCCTATCTATCCTAAAGCGCCCAACATTGCTAACAGTGAAGCTGAACTGATTAGTTTACTTTATGATTCTGCAAGTGTAACCCACACACCTCCTGGGTGTGGTGTTCTTCCCATCTAGTGGCACTGAGACCACGAGAGAAAGAGATATTAATGGGTTTGCTCTGCAGCCTTAGCTAACAGCCAGTTGGCTTTTAGCTCATGCGGTAGAGCATGGGTCGGCAATGTTTGGCACGCAGCTCGCCAGGGTAAGCACCCTGGCGGGCCGGGCCAGTTTTATTTACCTGCTGATGCGGCAGGTTCGGCTGATCGCGGCCCCCACTGGCCGCGGTTCGCCGTCCTGGGCCAATGGGG